TCTCAATGTGTACGGCGCTAAGTTCCTAATAGCGTAGCGAATAGGCGAGAGATAGTTTACTCCTTGAAGAAACGCAGGCATACCAATAGACATGATACCGGACATAAATTGGGCTACTGATAGGAATACACTTGTGAGGTTTACGGCGAAGCCTGTGTGGAAGAAGAGGGTATTAAACTATTGTCATGTTAGTGACTACTATGAGTCCTGAATATTGGATAAGGAGAACATACCATGATACCCAAACTCTCACCACAATTAATAATGCAAAAGCAATTAAAGAAGCACACAAAGAATACCTGAGCATTTCTGGGTAATCCCGTAGCTAAATCCGTCAATATCGCAAAGATTAAAGATGTGAATATTTCAAATGGTATCTCCAGTGTAGTATATTGAGCGAAAAATGCTTCAACGCTATAAATACCATCGTCGTATTCTCGATAGAACACATCTTTTTCATTAGGATAGACTGCAACATTTTGCAGCATACCTACGAAATAAAATGCACAAAATTCTTGGATGAAACCGAATCTGTTTTGTACAGAATAATAGTCATGCTTTAAGGGTGCAAAGAACAAAGCGAGAATTATGGCGAGGCCCAAGACTTGCATAGTTCGAGCTAAGAGTAGATCAGGTTGTCGACGGAAATTAATCGAAGCTCTATGGACAAGAATAGGGAATGCAGAGAAGAATCCAGATGATTTGCGAACAAGAGAGCCCAGTTCTGCAGGAGTAGATATCGTGGTTGGGATGCTAGCTTTTGTGAAGTTACCAGATGACCAGGAATTGATGAGATCTCTCACTCTGGAACGAGTGACCTCCTCTCGTCTAGATTGTTGTAAATCAATGGTGATTAGATCGAGTGCGAAATCGGCTGGATTTGTCGTAGTAGGACATGGATGGCCCAAGCTATTAAAGTGTGAAATCATATCAGAGCCTTTACCAGCGTAAACAGGAAAGCCTCCACGTGCCAATAGAAGAACGCTCCCAAAATGTTTAAAGGTGTCCGAACGAGATTGATGAATTGTAAGGATTAAAGTTCGACCTTCTTGTGCAAGACCTTGAAGTACTTCCATGATGGATGAAGCGGTAAACGCATCTAAACCAGAGGTTGGTTCGTCCAAAAGAAGCACCTATGATTAGGAATTAGAGTTAAGGGATTTTCAAAGAGCGCAAGAAATATTTGCAACTGGATGCGTAAGGGGGATAGACAAAGTTCTTGTAGACTCACCCTTGGATCCGTCAAAATTTGAACGGCGATAGTTACTCTGCGCTTTTCACCACCTGATATACCTTTAATGAGAGCAGATCCAATAAGATTATCCGCACAATCCTTCAGACCCATCTTCAGCAGAACATCTTCAGCACGTCGAATCTTCTGGTCCTTGGTCATGAATGATGGAAGTCGTAGCCCAGCTGCAAAGTGAAGGGTCTCCCTAACCGTTAATGACGGAAGGAGTGCATCATCATCTTGACATACATAACAACAAACAGATCGTATGACCGAATCCGATGGTACTGCACCATTAAAAGTCATATCTCCACTCGGTCGATATTTAGTTCCGATGGAATTACGTAGTCGCAGAGCCATTGCATTGAGAAGAGATGTTTTACCGCTGCCTGATGGTCCCATAATGACGTTTAGCACGCCTGCTTGGAATGTTGCTGTGACTGGATTTAATATGGTTTTGGTGGGTTGTTTTTTCCCAAACGAATTACGCTTCTCGAGATCTAAGGCGAATTTATCAAGGCCCATATCAACCTATGCTAATTAGTGCCAATCCATCAAGTAAATGGATATAGACGTGATCAATTGCAAATGTGCATCAAGTCGCGTTTCACCATTCATGATATCAATGGAAAGCGGCAAACAGAATGTCCACTCACAGTTCGAACCTCCGCTGCGGACCTAACTTTCATCTTTTCTTTCCCTGCGGAAAAGTCCCCATCCGATCCTCTAGCTCTAGCAATCGTCATTTCAACCTTTAAAAATCGTAAACCAATGCCCGCAAGTCCGTAGAACATGATTGAATAACAGAGTAGGAAAATGATTGGCCTGACAACCCAGTTATCAGGAAATCCCAGCGAATCTATGATGAATGCGCCTGTATATTCTACACAGGCTGGGTTTGATTCTCCGCCTTCGTAAGGGCAATCATAAAACTGGCCTACGAATTCGTTTGAACACAAAGCACCAAACGCATAAAACACATAGGCTGTCCATTTCAGCCAACGTACGTACACCGGAATGGTGTTTACTTGTACGAAAAATCCACAGGCAAAGCTCTGAACTGTGTAACCCATATTTGCAATGAGAGATGCACCAGCAAAGTTTCTTGAAGCCGCTATGCACGTCATGGCGAAAGTGACAGCAATATACTGACAGAGTAAGACAATAGAAAAGAAAGTAAGGAAAGTCGAGCCATCTGATCTAAAGCCTGCCATCCAATAGGATATGAGTGAAAATATCAGAGGAACAGGAAAATCTTCGGTAAAGAACCTTGCAATTCTTCTACTGAGCAGAAAAGGGATAATATCCACAACGTTCTCGTTATTTTCACGATCAAAGAGTTGTATGTCAATCGTCAGACGATATATTTCGAACAGGAGCATGAGATACCCTTGTAATGCGGCAGCATTGTAGAGAGCACCTTCGCGACTGCGAATACCAGAAAGATCTTGCCCCAGGTTAAAGAACACCCACCCACTCATGATTCCCATCCCAATTGCTTCTATAAGAGATCCAAACATGCCCATAGGATCTCGATAGGTTGTGACAAAGGTTCGAGAAGTTAGTACACGAGTCTGACGAACGAACGGAGAGTGACGTGTCCAATTCTTTGCTACAAGAGGTTTTGTATCTGGCGTCTCAGGAGCTGTGACCTTTTCCGAAATTTGGAAGAACCTTTTATTATTTTCTTCTGCCCACGCAAGTTTCAAATTTTCAACTCTTGCAGAAGAAGTTGCCTCGAGTTCAGGGGAGCGATTATCAATAGCAGCTACATCAATTAAGAACTCCGCTGGATTGACAAATGCCGGTAGCTCCATGCCAATTCCTTTGAACCAAGACAAGCAGTCCGCAGCTTTACCAGAATATACTGGACTACCTCTAGTTAAAATTGTTAGACCATCAAACATTCCCCATATCTCGGATCTAGGCTGGTGAATGGTTGTAATAATCGTCCGACCTTTCCTGGCCAACCCTTTGAGGGTTCTGACTAGCTGAAATGCACTTGTCGCATCAAGTCCAGTGGTCGGTTCGTCTAGAAATAAGACGCTTGGGTTGCTTAACAATTGTACACCAATACTAGTTCTTCTTTTCTCGCCTCCAGAGCAACCCTTGTGTTGTGTGCTACCAATTCGTGTGTCGGCGCATTCCTTCAAACCAAGCTCCAAGATTACTTCCTCCACAATATTCCTCCTTTCCTTTTCAGTTGTCGGTGGCGGTAACCGCAGATCTGCGGCATATCGTAAAGTTTCCCGAACTGTCAAAGTTGGTAGTAATACGTCTTGTTGCATGACATATGCACTCCGAACGCTGTGTACACCTTCCATACCATTGAAAGTTGTAGTTCCCCCAATTGTTAATCGTCCACTTGTCATGCGCTCAGCCATTGTATTTAACATAGTTGTCTTTCCCGAACCACTGCCGCCAATAATGGCAGTAAGTGTTCCGATGGGCATCGAAGCAGATACTGAGTGTAAGATTTGTTTCGTGGTGGGAGTGGCAAATCCATCTTGGGCCTTTTTTCGTGGTATCCATCGTTCAATTGAAAATGCTGAAGGGGAGATATCAACATTCACGGAGAGGTTTCGTATCTGAACATCGACCGGTTCCACAGCGGACAGAGAAAGTGTGTTGCTCTGAGTAGTCGTGATAGCTTGGAGATTTGTCGCATCTTCCTCAATTGTGGATGGTGAGGCTAACGGTTGCGATCGGATAGATAACGATGATTCGACCTTGGCCTCCTGAGCTTCGTGCTCATCCTTTGAGTCCATATTTCGACTTTTTCCCTACAGTCGCATCTTCTACCTCAATATATATATATGTTTCTATATGCTGGTCCACGGGGTTTTGTTTGTTGTTTCGAGATATCCCTACTGTCAAAGAGCAAATAGCCTAATAGAAATCTCACCAGCCTGATTCAAAGTCTCCCACACGCACATGATATTGCATTTGAGATGAATGGGATCAAAGAGATAAGACAAAATATACTTAGACATCTATTTGATATGAAGCCAAATTTTTCGAATGGAACATCGTTATTATCTACCCGGATTGGTCATTATCCGTTGATTTGCCTCGAGATTCTTGATATCCGTAATGTGGATAAATTTCTCGCGGGGGGATTTCAACGATAGGGTATTTAGCGTACCTCGGTTGCGAAGCGATGACTGCAAACAGTAGTTTCAGGCGGTGAGACGCCCATCGAACCCCGCAGTGTAATGAACATTCACTGTATCGGGATAGTGTAAAACCCAAGAAACGGTGAATCTGCCATTCTGTACAACGAAATAACGTGTTTGACGCGTGTAGCGCGTGCGATCGTCGCATTCCAGAAATTCTAGAAGTCTAGAATGGAAGTCTACAAGACTACAATCGACCCCTATATTCGTGCGGATCGCACCAACAATTTTCTGAGAAAGCACCGGTGAGCTCCAGTGCCGAACACAGCGTTCTACATGTTTAGACACATCAATTGAAGACCTTTAACTCAATTAATATCTTTATAATAGTTTGTAACACAACTATTTAAATGGCGATTCAATAAAGAAATCACGTTAATCGGAGGAATTGATTTTCTATCCTAGATACATGATACTGTTTCGATCAAGAGCTTCCAAGGTCCAGTACAACACCGGTGGCGTCGGCATGCAAGGCCATTAATACTAAGCTTTATTACGTATTTTGTCTATCATTTTGGATCCTTTTTTCATCTATGAAGATCACGACAAAGTCTTCTCTCTAAGGAAGCCCCAGAGTTTTTATTTCCTAGATTTCAGCAGCTGAGTAGTGGTAGCATCTGGAATCCGCAATACAACCAAAAGAACCAAGTCATGAGTCCAGCTTTGGAATTGGGATTGCCACCCATATTCTCTGCAGCCAAACCGGCAGCCAAATCAATATAGACTCGCGTCGAAGTTGCACAAATTCCCCATATAACACAGCTTGATTTTAGCGATCGAAAGTTTAACACACTATTTAGCATCCGGTGGCATTCAGATCCCAAATTTGGGATTGATATCTGGAGGTCCGCACCACCCTCTGATTCCGGGTTGGTTTCATGAGCATCTTCGTCGACCTCCAAATACGATCGATACCAGTGATGCAGAGCTGAAGCTATCGTCATCAACAAAATTACTGTGGTTATAGTAATGCTATAGATCCCAGTGATGACCCCAAATTTGAGGTCATGACGTACCAAATTACTGACCAAAGCAATTGTGCCGAACATTATACCTATTGTCGTTGCAATGAATATTGCCAAAATCCAGAGGGGTGACAATGTAGCTTCAGAACGCTCCGATATTTGTTAAGATTCTTGGCAGGCAGCGGAGAACATTATTGCGCTCGAGGTCAGAGAGGTAACGAGCTTCAAGGACGCTATTAAATGAAGTTGGCAGTTCGGACTCCGGGCTATCACTATTGGTGAAATGAATATGGTCGATGAGAATTGCATTACTGCTAATATGGCGTTAAAACGCGCATGCTTTAAACTCGTTCCCTCTTCTAATGTATCTCTGCAACAAGTGCTCCAAAAAAGAGGAGTTTTATTACACAGCAGCATGGCGAATATGTAAAATGTGATATAATGTGTCGCGATACCAATGCCACCGTATAGTAGGGCGAAATGTAGACTGGCTTGCGCTAGATCTATCTATTCCGAAGGGGGTTTGATCGTCATGATCTAACTCTGAAAGACTACTACTCACAGATTATGTAGTCAGAGTTCGATATGGAAACGCCTCTGTTTTCAGCTCACAGCAGCTATTACCCCTTTTCCCTCTTCATGGGTACAATCAAGCCTTAATTGTGTTTCCCATGGTTGAGCATTGCATCAAGCACGTTAACTCTTCGAGAGGCACATGCACTATATAAAAGCTAAGTTGACTTCTGCTTTAGTTAACAATCACTTCCGCAATAGAGCACCACCTAAACTGACACCTATCAGACCTATCAGACCTTCAAAACTGCTATTCCTATAATATATGAGCCGTACAAACAGCAAATCTAAATCAAGCATGTGAAGACTTTTGATCAGGTGGGTGCATAAATCAGAAGAAAGGCACAAGATTCGATGAATGTTCCCACGATTAGCATTCGAAGGGGCTTAAATTAATAGGTATTGATGCAAAACAAACTTGAAAGATATGACTCACGGAACAACTTCAATGATTGATTTCAATCACTCATGCACTACTATCAATTTAGGGTAAGGTACCTTTTCTTTCAGTCTTCAACTTTAGCTCTACATAGTGAGGCTCTCCATGGGCCTCTCTAAAGATACAAATGGTACACTTGAATGAACCATGCGGCACCTTTCATCAACGGGACAATTTGGTCAGTATACCAAGTGGTCATGGCTTTCAGTTCTTACATCTCATTAAATACGTTTGAAGAGGCTCTACACCTCGTTGAACTCGTACCTGAATGTCCACCGAAGCTTGACTTGTGAAAATACATACCTGGTACGTCTAGATACTTTGGTTGTAAGTGCTCTATTTGCGTAACAAGTTTCATCCCAATTTTACTCTCAAGGCTTTTGAGTTTCGTCTTAGGCCATTGTAGTAGCATTTTATTCACCAGTGTGTTATTCAAATAAGAAATCAGCTATATATATATCCTTCCTGCCTCATATATGAGAATACGTCCTATACATTTCACCCTTCTATAAAATGTCTACTCCCAAGACTCTGTGAAATAGGCAGCCCTAAAATACCAAGAAACTGCGACAATAATCTTCGCATCTTTCTCCTCTTCAGTATGCACTTTTCGCGACGAAACATCGCCCACCATACATTCTCACTCACTGCCGTCAATACAGTTTATCGCCGCTAGAAATTCGCTACGACATTATCCCCAGATAGTAACCGCGTTAAAATATGCAACAGATTCCTGATATTCTTCTCCAATAAAAATGCTATTGCGCAACAGGGGAGGGGAAATTATAGATAAATCCCCACAATCTGGATTTCTGGAGTACCTAGATTCGGTGGGATAAATGCCTGCCGTTTCTAGCTGCGATTCTATCAAAATTCAAATATGGAGATGTTTTTATACCACCATATGACTTCTGAATTTTGATTATTCACTCTATTCCCTGGTACTGGAAGTTCTACTATATATATATATTAGTTAGCTTGTTAGATGCTTCTCGGCACAATCTAAATTCCTCTATGAAAGACTTCCAAACAGGTACTTGTTTTCTAATCAGACACCATGTATGAGCAATATCTGGACTTGGAATCAAGGTTCATGTGAGATAGAGCGGTTTGAAGACGAAGCTGTTTCAATTTCTCCGGTTGTGATTACTATCACCAAACACATAGGTAGTATCTTGATCTGAAAGCTGTTATCGATTCAACCAAACGGGTATCATTCATTCATTATTGTCGATTATATCTACTACTGAAAGTTGATAACTCTCATCATTGCTTCTCTTTAATCCAGAATAGAAACGATGGAATGGAACTGTTAGTTGACCAATCCAAGTCGGTAAATCACTTTGCACTTGAATTCGCCTCATCAATTGTGTATCCGTTGTTACGTAGCGATCTGAAAGCCCCAGTTACAAGATTGAATTTTTTATTTATACCTCCGTATGGAAAATCTATCCGGAAAGCGAGAACCGAATCCGTCATTTTTGGAACTAGACGTAAGCTACAAGAATCTGATCGAGTAGAGGAGATTATCTTAATACCCAGACATACATGTGGCTGCATATTTGCGCCGGATCTATCTGTCTTTTCCAAACAGCGTCTGCTGTCGCCTGAGAGGGTTATCCTACTAAAAGAGCATCTTTCCCCTTCATCGGCTTTTTAAAATCCTGTTGAATTGATCAATCACTAAGAAATTCTGAATACTCAGTTTCCGTCCCAATCGAAGCAGATTCCATAAGATGACTGCTGTATCTGATGAAAGCGATACGCACGTGTCTAGAAGGCTTTCAATTGAGAGGTATGTTTAAAATATTTCATCTTTTACTCTGATTTTTCTTCCAGATGATCTAAGGTCGATGCTCGCATATCCCTCTCCTTCTTCTTCTTTGCATCAGTAACTCATTGACTCATCGCTTCATTAAATCGAGGACGAAGCAAAAAAAACCAAGTAAAAAGTTCACGGTAAAAAAGGAATTACTTGTCCAAAAAGCTAAGTTTTACAGATGTGCTGATAGTAGAAAAGTGAAGTCATGGGAGGTCGATGGATTTAGTGGTTAAATTTTTTGATTGTGGTGAGGATGTTCTGGAGATACTTTTGATGGAGTGATATTGGACTACGCGTCGGATTACTACGCTGAGATAGTGATTGCTCTGATAGGAGATGGGACAATATACGTCAAGATTAGCATACTAGCTTAGGGTTGCTTGCTCTTAACAGTTGAATCTTCACTCTCCATCCTTCTTTGAAAACTCATTGACGTCCAATCTCAAACTCTCAGCTCTCACATCCAAGCCCTCACATCCAAGCCCTCACTTCCCACCTAGATCCTATACAACCTTAAGCCACCTACTCCTTTGGGCCATTAGTCGAAACTCATCTGTTATATAAAGAGATTCCTAGATCTTGTTTCGCATCTCCAGACGACATCTCATATTTCATACTATATTCGCTCAAGCTTCAACAGCTAGCTTCGCTAATACTAACCGACAAAGTGAATATTCGCACCTTTTCATTTGTTGCATATCTGAATTTCAGCTCTATTTGCGCTCTTTCAATTATTGGTTAAATAAACTAGTTGACTTTGATTCACTTAAATGAAAGGGTAGGGTCTTTAATTGTTGTGGTATTGTGGATGACGTAGCTCAAAGGATGCAAAATAGCACTACAAGACTATTAAAGCTCAGAAGCTCGATAGTCATATAAATCATGTACTATAGAACACTGTTTATAAGCAGAAGCAAATTTTCCAAGGATATCTCAAACCTCTCTCAAAGAATAACAGATCAATGATTCGTCGAGAAGACTACAGACATTCAAGAATCACTTTGACATGACATGAATTAACAACGAATTTTTAGACAGGCATGTCGTAGAAATGAGCGGATTGTGCGATATCCTGAGTATGAATTAAGCAATTCGACAGTCCATGTGTAAAGGTACGGTTCATATATATGTATTGTTTTAGTCGATTTTCCTTAAAGAAATTTGTCTATCTACCATATCACATAGTAAGTCGGATACCCTACTTTCGGGCCACCCCCCTTTTGGGCCACTTTTTACACCAAAAATGGAATTTTTAACTTTCTTATTTATGAATAGAATTTATTGAAAATTTATATATATATAATTTAGATCATTTTTAGTTTAGCTTGAAAATTTTAGATTTTTAGGAATTTTCTGTATTAAGATCTAGAGCTTCAAAATATCGATTTTTAAATTTGTATGAGAATCACATACAAATTTGAAACTTTTATAAAATCTTTAATAACTTTTTAATAAAAATTATTAAAAATAAACTATAAAATTTTATTATAAATTTATAACATTTTTATTTTGAAGGATTCAGAAAAAAAAGAAAATTTCCTATAAATAGATATTTAAAAGGATACCCTCAAAATTATAGGGATTATTTATACTACTTCAAACTCACTGTATACTATATCTTTATATTTGTTAATTTTTTTGAATTTTTTTTTGAATTTCTATATAGATTTAAGCTCAAAACTTTCAAAAAGATATACAGTTTTCTTTTGATGATTGTTGTTAAAAAGTTATTAAAGATTTTATAAAAGTTCTAAATTTATATGTGATTCTCATATAAATTAAAAAATCGATATTTTAAAGCTCTAGATCTCAATACAGAAAAATCTAAAAAAATCTAAAATTTTCAGATTAGATTCAAAACGATCTGAATTATATATACAAATTTTCAATAAATTCTATCCATAAATAAGAAAGTTAAAAATTCCATTTTTTGAGATTTTTAGTGGTAAAGAGTGGCCCAAAACAGGGGTGGCCCGAAAGTAGGGTACCCGACTTAGCGTATAGAACATAGCGCCACCCAGCCAGCCAGCCAAATCATATTATTCCCTCCAAATTTCCTGAACGCCAATTATATGCCATATCAAGCTATCAAGCGCATCCACCTCCACATTGCCCCAACTTTCTATAAACATTCAATACTCTTAAAGAACGGATTCGCCCTCAATTTCTCATCACCTCCCACCAACCTCCTCAACACCGCAATTTTGTCCTCCTTTGCCATATCCTTCCCGTCAATTTCTGCCTTCCACT